AAGAATCCTGACACACATAAAGCGTAAAAGTAACTAGAACATTTATTTGTATTTCGGGATTCAAGCTATATAACTTAACTTTTCACTTCTCGTGGACTGTTAATGCAACCGTATTTCAATTATTTCCAAAACAAACATTAACGTTATTACTTAATTGGTGAAACAGAGAGACTGAAAAACTTGTAAGTGATAACGAAATCATGATTGTAAATGACAAGAGAGCTACTGAAATATTAATAGAATTATAAGCATTATTAAAAAACATTTTATCAGGTTTGGGTTTTGGGCATAGTAACACGTAACCGTATACAGGGCCTGGTTTAAAAAAGGCATGGAGCTTGGCCTCCATTTTCAGGGGGCTTCAAAAAGCTTCTATAATGTACAAAATATGCGGAATTTTAAATAATATTTTAAAATTATATGCTTTTAAAAATGTTTAATTAAAAGCAGGAACAAGATTTAAAATTTCATATATTAGTTTTTTTATGCGTTTCTTCGAAAGTCAAAAACTGAATCGTTCGTTGTCTTAGATTTTCACTGGCGAGTGATATTGTTTAACTAAGCCTCGGTTAGTAAACTAACGCAATCAAATTCTATTACTATGTGTTCACCATATTTAAAGCTTAAAATGCCTTATGAATATGAGAATCTTTATATATAAGTATGACACGTTTCGATGCCTACGCTAAATCATGCGACTGATTATTAAACTGATAAATAAATTACTCTTATCTCAGTAACTTAATTAATTAACGACTGTAAGGAAAACAGTAAGAATTCTTCAGGCTTTTTTTAACAATGAACATTTTTTACCAGAAAGGGGAGGAGAGCCTGGATTTAAACATATAAGCTTATATTTTACACAACACGTAATTAGCAAAAACCATGAAAACGAAACACACAGAAAGGTAAAATGTGCTTTTATTTAAACAGTAATAGTAAATTATCATGTCATTTTATGAAATACTTTATATGAGTCAAATCATTGATAATTACTTGAACACATATATACAAACTCTCCGTATACCACAAATCCCAGATTTCTAAAAGTGAGTTAGTTAAACATAGCATGCATTAGTAAAACAAACATAAACGAAGAACAGTAGTCTAGCCTTCATTAAGAAAACAGATAAATTCACTGGCCAACTCAACCTAGCCTTTTAAAATCATTCTGTAGGCATAAATTAAGAATTAGAGAAGGATGGGGCTCCATAACAGGCTTTGTACCAGGCCTCCAGTTTCGGAAATCTAGTTTTGGGATCATGCGCCCAATTGAAAAAATTTCATTAATTTGTTATTAGGATATAAAATTGAAATAAGACAGAAGCCTAACCACATGGGTTTACGAACTATCTTCGGAAAACAACATTAAATGTAAATCACATAAAATGATTAACATCAAAACCACGTAAAAAAGAGAGTTCTTTTTAAATCTACAGTAATGATCTGTTTACTTTATAGTAAAACTAATTTTATGTTTTCAGGACTTTCGTTTTACTTCCGCGAAGAAAAGTATCAGGGGAAATTACAGGAATAAAATTGGCTAGAAAATATAATTTTCCTCCGCTTTAGGAATGTAAAACCTTCATGCGAAATCTTTTCTAAGTCGAAATGGCACAAAGCCGAAGAAGCAAATTATTCTTAATTTATATCGCAAAGATTTCTCAGGTTTCCAAAGCCTCCAAGAAAAACTTATAAAATCCCAACAGCCTATATATAAATAGTAATATCATACGCACTGCAATTTCATCTTCCTAGACTTGAGAAAGCACACCAGAACGCCTACAGGTGGTAGCAGTGATGTTAGTGCAGTTCAAGATTAGGTGCTGGGAGAGGTTCCATGATATTCAGTCGATAGGACATTTAGCCAACACGTATATTTAGTCGACAAGGTCAATTAGTCGACAAGACAGACAGTTGACAGAATATTTAGCCGACAGAAACAGTTAGCAGACAGGACATATAACTGACAGGGGCATTTAGTCGACTGCATGCTTAACCGACAATGCATTTAGCTGACTGCACGTTTAGCTCACAAGGCATACATGTAAACAACAACAACAACAACAAAAAAAAAACACACACACACACACAAAAAGAAGCGACAACGTTTTAATAAAATTTGCCCATATTTATCTGACAAAAGGCTATTTCCACAGTATACGATGAAACGTTTATAAACAAGTACCATATTTTTGTCTTTAGTTAATACGACGTATGTCTGAATGACTTGTCGGCTAAATGACCTGTCAGCTAAATGTCATGTCCGCTAAATGTTTTATCGGCTAAATGTCCTATAGCAAAATGTCCGTGTCGGCTAATGTCTTGTGGGCTAAACGTCTGTGTTGGCTAAATATACGTGTCGGCTAAATGTCATATCGACTAATTGTTTCGTCGGCTAAGTGTCCGCGACCTGCTCGGAGATACAAAAAGATTAAGAGGATGAGAAAGTAGGAGGATCGCAGTTAGTATCCGTCGCGCTAAGATTTCTCTACATCTGTGTCGAATGCAGGGATTTGTCATCCGCTTATCGGAAAATTTCAAAATACGACAGCGAGTTTGACTATCTAGACTGCAACATTTTTTTCTATAATGCATTTCATCAAAGATAATCACAACATCCAGTCTTAAACCTGCGTATTCCTTTCAACACCGCAGAAGTCCCGGGGAATATGGCCATGCAACCAGGGCATGTATCCCGGGATTCCACTTTCAGACAGGTTCTCTAAATACTTCCACAATATTTAAATATAAAAAAATTGAAATAATTTGTTTTCAATAACATATTTTGAAAATAAAAAATAAGAAGAAAAAATTAAATTTGCAATTTCGCACTTTAGTTTTTTATACCGTTCTTCAAAAATGAGATGCTTTATCACTTTCAGCAAAGCCTTGATTTCTAAACTGTGGCTAATTTGCACAGCCGTTCTCTGCTATTATATAACCACTACGTTGTGTTGTGACTTATCTCACTTTTCTGACAGTAACATCAGAACAAGACTAAAAAATTCCTCGTGGCCAAGGACAGCAAGATTGCGCCTGTCGTTGACGAGACTCTTGCGCAACATACATGTGACAGTACGACTTCACTCAGTTCCGTCCCCAGTTTTGATTGAGAGCACCCCGGATGGACGGCTCCGAGAGTCTCTCAGCCTCTTAAGAGGACTTTCGGCTTGCCATATATTTAGAGTGTCCCCATGCCACAAAGGCACTATAAGGTACCATACATTTACAAACAATCCGTGCCTTCTCCGGGACTCGAACCCGGGCTCTTCGGTACTGCAGTAGGTTCCTCTAACCACCATACCGTTTGGGCGGCAACCACTGCATTTCAAACTCTTGATAACATGTGAATATGAAGATCTCTTGGTTATCGTGCGCATTTTATGATTATTGGGCTGACAAAACTTAATTACATTATTCTGGTCTTATCTCTGTAATTAAATTATTCAAGTTTGTAATAATATTTTAGGCTATTTTCAATCTGCAGGATGCGGAAGGTAACACTTATATCTTAGACAATACGAAATGCTTAACACAATATTTAAAAAGCTGATGTCTTACACAATACGAAATAAACTGAGACCATGAAAATAAACCATGTAGAAAGGCAAAATGCATTTTTTATTTAAATAATTTTAAATGAAAAAAAATAAAGTTTCATTAATTTGTTATTATTATTAGGTTATGTCACCAAATACTTTACATCATTCTTATCAGTGATGAACACAGGGAAAAGAACTAGAGGAGGGGGAGCCTCCAGAACAGGTTTTACCCAGAGCCACCAGTTCGTAAGTCGGGGCCTGATGTTCAGTAAAATTCAAACCCTGAGCAATATTTTTGCGTTTCGCCTTCCTTTTTGTAAAAGCAAAACACTGCTTTAGATTTCTTTTGTAAGCCGAAAAAAGTACTGCATTAAGTTCTTTTGTAAAACAAAAGCAGAATAAAGTGAATTTTATAAAGAGAAGTATATTTACAATCTAAAGAAAATAACATCAGAGAAATTGGGTTCCAGCGAAGGTTTAAATGGTTTAAAATTATTATTATTATTATACTCTTAGTTATGAATAACAGTACCAAAGTTCGTTCTTATTCTAATAATAATCTGATAGAAAGCGACTATTGCAAATCCTTCAAGTGCTTCTGTAAGAAATGTAGTACTGCAGAGCTTTGACAACTATCTGTAAAATTTAAATTACAAATTTTAAAAAATTCACATTTAAATAAACACCATTTTGTGTTAAAAATTTAAATTGGCTTATTAAATACTAAAAAATATCAACGCAAACTATTACAGATACAGTGACTCATTTTGAGAAAACGTATTACTGGCACCTAATAATTCTTAAAAATTCATTAAATAAGTAAAGAAGAGAAAGGAAAGAAGAGACGATCACATCATATCTATAAAGGTAAACTTGTGAAAATATGCTATATTGTAAATGTGTTTGTACAACAGTATACCAAGAAGAAAGCATAGATTATGACAAAGCTTTCGAGGGCTGTCTGCCTAAGGATAGAAATCGAGGGGTTTTTAATGAAAACTCGCTCATATTCACATTACACATGGAATAAGCTATGAAAGCTTTCATTGCAGCCCGTTTTCCGGGATTTGAATCCGGGTCAAATTATCAGTATTCAGTAATTTTACCGCTCGGCCACCGGTGGACCAGTGAGTAAGAAAAGAAATAAGAAAACTCCGTTTAAACAATTCATTCTGATCCATTAAATTTTGTTAATACGATGTATTAATTTTCAGCTATCTTACAGCTAAAAAAAATCGTGTATTGTTTCTTTTATTGTACTTACCCTTAAATTCCATTCATTGCGCTACCGAATAATTTTAAATGAAAGAAGTCTTAATTTAAAAATATTCATTGCAGCTATCAGAGCACAGGGATTATATTTGCATATAGCAACCAATCATTAGTTTGCCAGTTATATGAAAAAGGATCAATCGGCAATTACAGAAACATGAAAAGATATTGAATTTTACTTACTTTATCACGCGCCAGGAGCAACTGACTTCATCAACTCTCCACTCCAGAATATGTGCACTCTTTAAATACAGTAGCGCTAGGAGAAAAAAGCCGCTTATCGAGCCAAATGCATCGGGCTCGTTTTATCGACAGAAACGTTGTTTTTGCTCAGATATCGTCGTCCTGATTGCCATTTTTGGCGACTTCTCATGTCGCCAAAGATTCTTTTCTTCTTATTTCTTTCTAAACATGATTGAAATTTATCCGATAATTGCTTATTTTTTGCTCGTGTGAGTATTATAAATTTGCTGTTTGATGAACAGTTTATAAGAACGATTTTTTTCGTAAGGAATAGTTAAAAGGCCTACTAGAAGCACATTTTCGAATTCAGATCGAATGATTTGAGAGTTGTAGAGTTGTATGGCAGACCTATTTTATTCCCCACCCGTTTTCTCTTTTCTTCTTTGTTCAACCTCTTCGTTTTGACATTAGGAACCTTTCCCTTCAGGCTATTTTAACATTTCTTACATGGACGTTGCCTTTTCTAATTTTTATATCTTCTTCCAGAAAGGTGTGGAGAAGAAATATTTTATGAATTTTTCAGTGCATCATGTTTTTTAAAGCTTGACTTAAATTCAGCTGGAGCTTCCTGGTGCCAAGCTTCGGTTTTTGATTTAAACTGTAATTCTAGTTGAATCTCAAATGAGATAAGCTCTGGTATTTTAATTTATTATTTAACTATTTGTTATTATTTTAACTTGATTTATACATTTTTTATTTATCTCCTTTCCTTTTGTTTTCTTATTATCATGATTTATTTTATTTATTTATTTTACTTTTATTTTTTAAATTTTTTATTTATTGTTTCATCACTTTTAATTTTAGTCCTGCTGTTAAATATCTCCAATAAATGTTTTTCAGTTTACCATGGAACTCCTTTTCGATTTAAATAGAAAAAAGCAAAACCCTAATTACAAACTGTATATTTTAAAAAATAAATTTAAGAGACAAATAGAAAACTTTAATAATTCTGAATCGCATATTTTGTTTAGACCACGAAGTTACGGAGGACTGCAAATCCACCGTGCTGTAAATTTTAAAAGTATAAATGTTAGTAAGTCAAACACAGGCAAAATTCAGTTCCAGATAAATGCTGGTTTCATACAGAAAGTCTGAATTTCGATGGATGGTGACACGGGCCCCTTTTCTTCAAAAAGCAAACTGCCTCGTGTAATACAGAGAGTTTATCTCTAAAAGCCAACCTCAATCTACTGTTCAATTTAATTTTTAAATTTCCAGTTGGCCTGCTTCTTTTTGCAATATGCTATTAAGAAGCTCTAGATTCTATTGTCGATTGAACATGGAAAATGACATGCTGTCATTTAATAGAAAAAAATATTGATTGATTGAAGCATTTAAATTTCGAAAGCATCGAGTAACGTTACTGTAAACTACTAATCAAATTTCAGATCTTGTCTTGCTTACGACATCAAAAATTAATAATACCGTCTTTAACTACAAGGAATGCGTTGACACGTAAATCCGACATTCAAAACAAGTAAAGTAGTAGTCTACTCATTTGCAATTTGTTTTGCTGTATAAAAATAAAATAACATTGAGAAAACTTAATTTACAATTTAGGAACCCTTGCTGCTGAGGCACACCATTTAGTATCTTAACTCATAAATGAGAAGTATATAATAACTCATATATGAGAAGTATATAATAACTCATATATGAGAAGAAACGTTAAATATCAAAACCATTACAAATAATTATGTAAATAAACTTTTGAAAGATTTCTTCTTTTGGTCAACAATTTTTAGGAGCGGAACAAAACACTAGGTAACAGATATAACACAAAATGATTTCAGTTATTACGCAGTGAAAATATAATGTTGTTACTAAATCCCAGAACCATGTATGGGTCAGATGTGAGCATATATGTGAGATTATAAGTACAGAACATTAGTTAGCAACAGCATACGACTTTGCCTAGTTCCTCATTAATTTTTATTGAAAATACTTCAAGGAACTGATGAGGAAAACTGATGATCTTGTACATTTTAGAATTAAGATTAGAAACAGAAACCGTTCCAATAACTTCTCGAGAAGATTTTCATATAAAAAAGTTTTTTTTTTTCGAACGGATTTTAAATTGCTTCCATTTTGGACTTGGTGGATTAAATACTTCCACCAAGTCCAAAATGGACTAATATATTATAAAATAACATTGAGAAAACTTAATTTACAATTTAGGAACCCTTGCTGCTGAGGCACACCATTTAGTATCTTAGCTCATAAAATACTGATATAAGAAGAAACGTTAAATATCAAAACGATTACAAATAATTATGTAAAGAAACTTTTGAAAGATTTCTTCTTTTGGTCAACAATTTTTAGGAGCGGAAAACTATTATTAATATAATTAATAATAGTGGATTAAAATACTTCAGACATGAGCATTCATGTCTGTATAAGACATACCCTATCAATCATCATATCGAAGGGCAAGGGGTATTCCACAACTAAAAATAAAATTCAACAGCTGAATAAAATTTAATATTACATAATGATGTTTTGATAGACAAGTGAAAATTCAATTTCTGGCTAGAATTTTGTCAGTAAGGATATGAAACTGCAGTCAGAGATACGCTGGTGGAAACACTGTGTTTCTACATAGTCACCATACTTATTCAAGCATTTTTTAAACTTAGCTACCAATGCATTCATTCTATTGGAAAAGAACTTGGTGTCACGATCCTCCAGATCAGATGATAAATGTCTATTGCACATTTTCTACAACCTGAAATCACTGTTCACGAAGATGGTTTCTGGGCTTTAAGAAATCATAGTAGCTAGGTTTGGGCTGCAAGAAAGGCATCTTAAAATATCCTAGTTTAGATCTAAAATATGAGAAAGAAAAAGTTGGCCACTGTGCAATCGCCCATTGTGGTACAATGCCCATTGTGGCATTGCCAATAGCCCATTGTGGTACATTTTTTTTCATCGACTCTAGTCTGGCCCACCAGCGGCCGATCGGTAAAGTCGTTGTTAGCTGGGAGTTCGACCAGGGTTCGATTTCAGGAGAACAGCCTCGTTTCCATGGTTTTCCCTAGATACGTTTTAGAAAGTCCTCATGAAGGCGTCCGTTCCCTTAGGCAGACAATCCTAGTGTGCTGTGCCATTAACCAGATCTCTATCTATTAGATCTTCTTTCCTTCCGAAGAAAGGAAAGAAATTTATCAGAATTTCAGTTTTGGTTTCAGATGCAGTTTAGCAGAAATGGATCTCTTAAATAAATTCAGAACTGCAGGAACTGTTCCATTATTTACACTGACTGTTTTGTAATCAATTCAAAATAAGCAGCGCGTTATCTAGCTCCACCCACCTCCAGTCCTCCATACCATCACTCACGTTTATCTGCCTGTTGCGATACGCAACATAAATCTGCTGACAGCGATGCAGTTATCATTTAGATGCCTGAAAAAGACCTTGGAAGAGTTAAAGCACTATGTAATAGTACTACGTAATGGCAGAATTATTTGAACTCATAATTCAACACATGAAAGCCAATATAATGTGAAATGTGTAATTTCATCAAAATATTGAAGTAAAACATTTTTTTAATAAGAGTGAGGATTTATTTATTAAAATTTCGCTTTTTTGTATGAGAACATACATTTACTCTACTATGTACATGATCGGGAAACTAAGCGGAGATTGCTATTATTCCAGATTTCATGAACGGAATTTTATTCAAACACGGATCAGCAGGAAATAATATAAATATTCTCTTTTTAAACAAATAAAAAGATGATGCGCATCTTACTCAGCTAAGTATAATGTTGGAATTACTCAGCTAAGTATGATGTTGGAAACATCCTGTATTAACTCCAGAGAGCCGCAATGAAAAAGAAATTCCTGGTCTCAATAGCCATGTTTTTTTTTAACTGAAAGCAATGAGAGAAACTGTAAAAACTCACACTCTTAAAAGTGTTAAAGCTATTAAAACTGTTCACTCTTAAAAGTAGTAATTTTAATTAATATTTCTCATCATCACTGAGTTGATTTAAATGTTATCAAAACTTTTTTTTTTCGAAACATAAAAGCAACATAATGGCAATATGCAACGATCTCGATTTCACTTCGTAGGTCCTAGGAGCAATTTTTGTTCAAAACTAAAAGAAATTTAGGCAAACAGCTCTCGCATGCTTTGTCCTAACTGACGATAAAGCGCCACAAAACGACAAACAGCGTATTTATTACGGGTAAGTACATTAACTGTCAAAGCGAGGGCAGAGTGGAGGATTTTATCTTAATAAACTGCTACACTACACATGAGAAAAACTTCATAAAAAACACGAGGAAAATCTTTTAATCGCACCTTCGGATAACTGTTTATGTTTCTTGACTTTAACGGCTGGTTCATTTTATAAAGCTTTTGGCATATATAGCTTGATTATCATACTATTTAAATCTTTTTTGGTATTTTAATATTAAATCTGAACTTGCTTACTGTTTCCAGCAAATTTTCTACTTTTTCAGTTGACTATATATTTGAATTATCACTGAACATGTATATATAATAAAACCTTACTAAAACGACCACCTTTCAATCCAAAAGATTTTGCCCTTCTTTTGCGATGTAATGACTATCGGTGGTCCTCAGTACCATTATTTTAATTATTGCCTCAGAAAAAGTAGTTACTTTCAAATGGAGTGTATCAGGAAGGTGATCACCGTGTTAGATTTCAAATCATTTGAATTAAAAATTGTAATTGTTTATTTATTATTATTATTATTATTATTATTTTGGAGGAAGAGGGAGACAAAAAACCACAGAAAAGTACTCAGCTCGTCTTAAAAAATAAATTTGGCAAAGCATCGGCATTAGCTTGGACTTACATTTTTGTTGCTTCATATAAATTACTGCACATTTTACTTCACACATTTTAGAATCTAATTCACAGAGCTTTAACGTAGGAAACTTTGACAATACTGCTCGCACTCTAAATGATAATTATACATACGACATAAATGCTAATAAAATAACTAATTTCCATAAACTGCCAATATTCTGTTTTAAACGAACAGCAAAACTACTGCATGGAATATGAGACACATAAATAACAAATACCATGATTTTGTTGCT